TAAGCGCCTGGTTTGCTGGAGTTTAGGTGCTCTGCACAGGCAAGTGGATGTGAGAGAAGCGGGTGTGTGTGGAGAGGTTTGGGTTTTCAGGGCAGCCAGCCAGTCAAGGAGAGGAGCTGTCCAGCATGGCTGATCCGTGCAGCCGGCATTCAGCACAGGCAGAGACGCCTACACATGTCAAATGTCACAGCACTAATCTCTTTCCAATGCAGGCCAGGTATAACTGCAGGGGCAAGAGACAGACACACCTCATTGCACCACAGAATGAGAATCCCAGGAGACACTGTGCATTTCGCAAATCTGAAGTCTTTAATGAGAAAAGGAATCTGTTGTCATTATTGTTTTGTGCACAGCTGCCTGTTCATGTTGAGAAGCATATGCAGCAATTTTCCAAGTTTTACTGAGAAAAAAAAACGGGGATTGTTTGCCTGCTTATATCTGTAGAACCGTTTAAACTTGTGTAGCATTGACAATTATGTTCGGTTGCTACTCTGAGTGGAGTTTAATGTCCTTAATACTTACATTTGGAGCGTGGACATGGTGCATCTGTCTATAATTTTGTGGTGCTATGTGTATTAATCTAAATAAAGGTTGAAAGAAATATTTAGTCCATAGATCTCCTGGAAGGCAAATTGGCAAATAATCTTAATGGTTTAATGTGTTATTGAATGCTTTAGCTGCTTTGTTTGTTTTTTCCTAAGGGGAGATAATACGCCCCCTCTCATTCCTGTGTCAACAAACTTCCACTGTAAGACTGTTCATTCCATACATGACTCAATGATCATTTCTTTCTCTGGAAATCAACAAAACACTCTGTCTACCAGTCAACAGTTGCGTATTTCTACATTTATATGTACAATATAGAAATGTTTCCCCTTTCAGATACCATATGAACGTACATGTCAATGAGGGGGAAGTTCAGCACGTGACAGATAATTATTACTTATGGAATATATTGTTTATTTTCCCAATGCATTATGCATACATTTCGGAATACTGCAGAGTCTTTGCTCTCCAGACATCCCTGCCAGGCTATAACAAATTGGTAATAATCAGGTAAAAGAGGTCCTTCCAGCCCCTCTTGTCCCTCCAAACCTTCAGAATATTTAGTCATGCACCTGCCATTTCCTTCCCTCTTTGTGCTCTTCCTCCTAAATTACTGAGAGGTGATATACAGCGTGAATGTCCCAAGGCTAAAGGAGATTTAGAACTTTGTCCCACATGAAGGAGAGGTGAGAAAAGACATTACTATGCAGAATAGGTAATACTGGAAACGCCAGAGCACTTTAGGGCGCCCTATGCAGATTATCAATCTATTTGTGTAACTTGGCTACCCAGAATTTCATTTCCCCTTTCATTTATTTGCCTTGCTGCAATCGTTTACAGTGCTGAAACTGAAAATTGAAGCCATGACGAGCATGGGAGCAATATTGCAAAGGAAAATAGGATTCCCCCGCTGTGTGATTGCAAACGTTCATTTGTGGGGCGGGGAAGGATGAAGTGACCTCTTTCTGATGAGCTCAGTGGAATGTTTAGCAAAATAAAAGGACACTACTTATGGCCATCTACACCTACCGGTTTGCAGAGCCCTCTTATGAAAGAATGGTTGCACAGGTTCTTTTTAGCAGAGCATCCCTTGTCAGGATTGCTCTGTATTGCCTTCAGCACCATGGACAGAGGCATACACTAGTCACCATTTTGCCACACTTCAGCACCATGGACAGACCCCCACCTCTGTCAGCATTCTCTGCTTAGGTACTATGATTCAATCACCGAGAGGCTGTAAATGTCAACAATCTGTCCGAATAAAAAAGAAAAAGAAATAATGAAATTACAAATGATCAAATGGGTTGAAATCAAACTCATTTTGTGAGGAATGCACAGTGGGAGAAAAACATGAACATTGCCCAGGTGCTCAAGGTATTTCTGTCCGTTCAAATGATTCACAAGAACGACACCTGAGCGTACCAAAAGTGGCTGAAAGATCTGTTCGGGGAGCACAAAGACACCCCGTTACATGCCTTGCTTGTTCATTTTCTGTTATTATAGCGGAATCTGTCCGAAGCCATTCCGTTCCCTCACAGGTAGGCCGTGTCACGAGGCGGACCGTGCGGGAGCCATCGCGGCGCCACACCTTACATAATCATCACGGCAGTAGCGACCAAACATAATTACAATGATTTGTGCCCTCCCATTTCGCTCTTGTATTAAAAAATATTGCCGGAGGTAAGTCAGGCGTGAGCGCAGGCAGGGCCGCTGTGCTGAATGGAGTGTGGCCCCCGAGGGGAAGCTGGGAGAGACAGGAGCATAGCGTCGTGCCAAAGAAAGCCAAGTCCTGTCCCCCCCCGCCACCCCACCCCACCCCGTCCCACCCCAGCCCACCCCGCCACAGCAACTGCTCCGGCTCGGTCATGCCGTGAGAACGTGATGACATTACCGGGCCATTTAACTGGCAGAAGAGCAGAGAGAGGAGAGAGACGCTGTTCCGCCGTGAGATGGAGTCTTTTGTTATTTAATGGTTAGCTAATGTCTCAGCGTTGGGTGGGGTGAGGGGGGGTGGGAGGGTGGAGGGTGGAGGGGTGCCTCATACCCCCAAAAGGAAAAACAACATTCATTTTCAGCATTTTCTTTAATTTCCAGGATCACTATTGCGGGCTTAGCTTGGCACGCTGACATTGTCTCACACACAACTGTCCCTCGGGGGTTGTATTTCACACTCCGTGAGACAAAATGTACCGAGGACTGATAAAAAGGGCCGTCCACCTTCAGGCACGCGTGCCAGTGATGCAAGTTCACGGTTATTCGTGGTAAATGGGCTGCTCTGCCGGCCATTAAAACAGGGTTCATCAGGTTGGACTCAAACAGGATTAGCAGCACTAAGCATTCATACAACGCCACAACCCCAGCTGTTTTTGCTCCCCTTCGGGAGTAGAGATAAAGAAAATGAATTGACTCCTGACAGAATAAACCACAACTACCAATGATATGAGCCCAAAGACTGTGTAAGCCCAGCTCAGACACAGGCTAAATATTAAACGTCTCTGTGTATATCTGCCACTTTTTAAAAATTGTCAATAATAACTAATCTCTTTTAGTGAAAGACTTTAAATCTGCTGACAGTGCATCTGGTCCTTTCCCAGATCAATCAGTTTAGATCTCTTACACATTAGTTGACAAAAGACCTTTGGAACCCTGGAGATCAAGTGGTGTTCATCATCATGTGGTAAAGAGAGGATGTCTCGCTTTTTTCTCTCTCACTCCCCATCTAACAAAGAATTTCCAGCCAATTTCTATCACAGAAATAAATGCACTTTTCAGCTAATTGTTGTAAATCAATTCCGAGAGGTGTAGAATTGCAACACTTAACTCACTTAAACCAAGATTTTCATAAATGAACAACCGCTAAGGTAATTTATGTAGAGCACCTCAGAAATTGGCTCAGAAACTTCTTGGTCGATGCCTATGGATCTATGGTGAACTTAGATTAAATGATGGAGAAACTAAATGGATATTGAATCCCCGTTCAAATGATCATACACCAATTAAAAGCTTCTCAACTGTTTTTTTGATGTTGACGTTCCTGAATGTTACACTACAGGGCATCACAAGTACATTTTATTCTTTTGTTTTGTTAAGCATTTAGATATTTTATTTTTGTCAGTCTTCACCCGAAGCGGTTCAGTTCCAGCACGTAGAGGAGCAGCTGCGCGCGGATCTGTTTTGCTCATCTTGTTAAATTTCTCCCACTCGTGCAGGGTCTTTTTGTTTCCTCCGTGTGGCCCCTCTCTACGCCACTCGGCGGTGCTCACAGACTTCCCCTCTCGGAAAAATCAAGTCATCCATTCCAACACGACTTTGGGAATGGAGGAGGAAGCTAATAATTCTTTCCTCGAACCAGTGGAGAAAAAAACGTTTCTTGTAAAAAAAAAAAAAAACAAGAACGCACAGTCCTAAAAAGTGACTGCTGGCAGTAAAATGTAGTTTTGGATTTCAGCACCACGGAGCTGTCCACGGAGCTGTCCGCGGTCCTGAAGCGGAGCCTGAACGCTGCTGTCGAGGATGAGGAGGGACCAGAGAGGATGAGAAATGTGATTTAAGCACAAACAATATCAGCCACTCATTTAATTTCGATTGCACCTTTGGGGACTGTTCATGTTTTCGAGGATGCAAACGTGTCATGTGCTGTTCTGGGTTCAGCCTCTGGAAGAGGAATGCCAGTGTGTAACAGTCGCGCGTTCATGATGGAGCGGGTTATTTGCTCGGAGTTGGAGCACAAAGAACCGTATTTTTCTCTATATCTCTCTATTTATAGACCCTCTCCCCTCGGTGGAATGTACCACTGGCTCCGTGCGGTGCGAAGGGGGGGTGGACGGAAAACACCGGAGTCTGAACGTGCTGCGTTAAGAGCGTCCCCTTTTCTTCAAACCTCCCCACTGCTCGGCCAGAGAGTGAACCGGCCCTGTCCGTTTAAACCGAGAAGACACCCATACCGACTCCTCAATGCAAAAAAAATAAAAGGGTGCCAAGAAGCTGGGACGGAGGAACGTGGGTGTAAATAGACAGTGAACGTTCTTGGTCTCTCTCTCTCTCTCTTCTCTCCCTCCCCCTTTCTCCTTCCCTCTCTTTCTCTCTCTCTCTCTCTTTTTTATGAAATCAATGAACGAGTTATTGGCTAGTACATAAATATAAGGAATCAAAGCCTCCACCGGGACCAACGGCATTGCGCGCTTTTGATATGTGTCTTCGCCAAATACTACATGTGTTTTCAAATAATTGTAAATTTTGGCTTTGATAGGAGGAGAGCGGGAACATCTCTGGCACGGCTTGGTCTCGGAACCAAATTTTGACCCAGACTTCCACCAGCTTTTTTTTCTTTTCTTTTTTTTTCCTTTTCTTATTTTTTTTTTTTTTTTTTTTATAACGTAAAACGATTCTCCATCATCATCATCATCATCCTCTGCTGCTGTTGCACCCATCCCAACTCACTGGCCGGTCCGAAGATGGCAACTTTAACCAACGGCCAGGTGGACGGCGCGGTGCACGGCGTCGGAGTGGTGTCGGCCAGCACGAACGGGCTCGTGAACGGATTAAACCACAGCCACAGCCCGGCGGGATGCCCGGCCACCATTCCCATGAAGGACCACGATGCCATCAAACTCTTCATCGGTCAGATCCCCCGCAACCTGGACGAGAAAGACCTCCGGCCCCTCTTCGAGGAGTTCGGCAAGATCTACGAGCTCACTGTGCTCAAAGACCGCTTCACGGGCATGCACAAAGGTGGGTCAAACGCGCGTTTCCCCGAAAGAACCGGGGCTGGAACGCATTTATTGGTTTGTTTATTTATTTATTTATTCCGTCAGAGTGAAATTTTGTGACACGTTGGTGTGATTGGGGATCCAAAACAATGCAGCAACTGAGGGAGAAATAGCTCGCTTTCCTGCTGAGGGCTGAGACCGACTTTCTGCGTGTTGTTTGGCAGCAGAATTACGACATTTTTTTTCCTTTGTGAGACTTGTCGCTGCGCGTCAAAGTCAGCGCTTCATTTTTTTTCCAGCTTTATTGAGCAAACACACATCCGAGCATGAGAGAGAGCGTCACGAAGCGGGGAGTCACGACGG